GAAAGATCCAGAGGGGACTTGAAAAGATGATGTTATGATGGACATAGTCCAATAATGATTAAATTTATAAAACACAAAGTATGGGAATGATTGTATGAAGCATGATGTCAGGGAAGGAAACTGTGAAACACTCCCCCATATATACGAATGAGACATAATGTATATGAGTAATTATATGCATCACAATAAAAAAAAGCTGAAAACAGAAATTCCATATGACGCAACTTATTCCACTGCTATGAATATACTTCAAGGACTATAAAATTGAGACACGAATAAAGATTTGTGAAATCTGTTTGATGACATGTGCAAAGTAAATGCGATGAAATTTTGCCAGCCTGGCGTCTGTCTAGGGAGTACTCGGACTGTACTCCTTCCAAGACATGTTTGTTCATTCTTCTCACAGTCTATACTGTAGTCAGTGTTCTTCAACATTAGGGAGCTCGGGTCGGTTCCCACTCGATGGAACAACAACAACATTAGCTCATAATCAGTTATAACATGCAACAAAAGGATGATTTTTAAAATTGATGCATTGTTTGTAGCACATACTCAGAAACATGTAACTGATTATTCTTTCCTTTTCATTCATAAAAGCAGCTCAGAGTCCACATAGGGAGTAAGTGGAGGAACGGGAACTCGAACTTGCCTCTAAGTCAAGGATTGTTCCATTGAAAACCCAAGATGCTCAACTATAGTCACAACAGCTAGAACCGTTACACAAGGATGTTATGACTGCAAGAATGACTAATGAGTACGAATGACTCATGTCAAGAGGAAAAATGCCACTAATTATCTTAATATACAGGTACTATTACTGACGTCTGCTCACTATTCATACCAGTATTATTAGTCAGCATCGGAGGCAGTTTTCGGGTTCAGCACTGGGCTCACTCTCAGATCAGAGCCCTTCCCGCAGACCTACAGGGGCTGGGACCGTGTGGGTTCCGCCCCCCGGAGCTCCAAGGAGCCAATAGGCGAGGAGAAGGCGGGGCCTGGAAGCGACAACGACGCTATCCAATGGGCCGACAGCCCCGGCCGTGGCTGGGCCAATGGGCGCGCGGCGTGCGACGCTCGGAAGCGGTGAGGCGGCGGGGCCGCCGTTGGGAGCGGGGCCGGTGGGGCGTCGTGCTGCGGTGGCGGGGCTGCGGCTTGTCGCTCGCCGGGACTCGGGTGAGGGCGCCGGCCGCCTGCGCTTCGCCTCGGGAGAAAGCCGCCTCGGGGGCGAGGACGAGGGTGGGGTCTCCTGAGCCGGCGGG